TTATAATTTTGTGTGATGAAGGTTTCATCTTCTCTTCACCCCAACCCTAAAATTTTAAATTTAGCTTTTATTAAGAAAAAACGACAATATTTGCCTTTAATTTGGGTTTCTTCATATAGATTAAAGCTTGTGCTCAAGAATGTGATGTTGATATTTCGATTAGGTGAAGGTGATGTCAAATAATCCAAATTTAGTTTCAACATAGCATTGATTTTTTTATTTTCTGTTGTTTTTGTTGTAAAATAAGGAAATCAAAATAAATCAAACGGAATGACCTAATATGGTAATAAAGTTCTCATTTTATACACGTTTAGCCTTTGTTTTTTATATAAATAGGCCCTCGAACTTATTATTTTTGTACACATTCAATATTTGTTACCGATTACTCCGGTTAAGTTCTCAGTTTGTATATATTTAGTCCTTAATGTTATTTTTTGCAAAATAATTAATTGTTGTTTTTTTATACATTCACTCCTTATGATAACTTTTCTTCAAGTTTTGCTCACATGGCATCCTATATGAGACAATCATTAATGAGGCGTTCTCATGTGTGGCTCATCTGGGATGTGAAATCATGTGTTTATTGTCTTTGTTTTGGTAATAGCATTGTATTTTTGATATTAGTAACTAGGGAAATCTTTAGAAAAGTCCCAATATTTTCGGAAAAGTTACACTTTAGTCCCAAGATTTTTTTTTAAACAAAAAAGTCATGAAAACCGGCAAAAATTTGCAGTTTGACCCTTTTTGACCGGTTGAAACTGGTACCAATTTAATGTGGGACTATTTCGTAAACTAACCCAAAATATTGGGACTTTTCTGTAAACAAAAAATATTAGGATTTTTCTATAAAGAAAAATATTATGACTTTTCTACAAACAAAACCCTTATTATTATTATTATTATTATTATTATTATTATTATTATTATTATTATAAATAAGAATTCTATTTTTTGAACGTGTTATTATTGATATTTTTACTAATACATATAAATGCATTTAAATGAAAAAATAATATTAATGATATTATTCAAGAGTGGAGGTGGAGGAGATAGTGACGCTTTTAGCATTGAAATCGTAAATATTTACTTATTTATATTTACTTTGTATATGGTTATTTCACTTTTGTTATTATGGTTTTCAATTCAGAATAATAATACTTAAAATTTTAAAAGAAGTTGTATATTTGTAAAATTGTTTATAAATTGTTTAAGGTAGAAGGATTTCTCACTTTATATATAAAAATGTTTAAGGTAGAATGATTACTTTCCAAATCCAACAGATTCACTACAAACATCTACATAGGTAGCCCATATCAAAATTCAAAAATATTAATTACAATATCTTGCTTGATAAAAAGTACTAGGATATGCTTTTTGGATTAATACTTTTGAATTTTGATTAGGGTTATTGTCACTGTAGCCCAACAAACATTAGTATATTGATTTAAATGGTCCATCGTAACTATTTTTTGCATTTGAAGGGCACTAACTTGTATTTTACCGGTCATTTTGGTACTTTTACCCACATTAGAAGGTAACACTGTTTTTTTAAGTGTCATGTAAGCATGTGATTCTACATTGACTTATAAATTTATCAGTTTAGTTTTATTTTATTTGTTTCAAACTCCATAACAATAAAATACTTCACCATGGTTATCATTACGCAAACTTGAGCTCTGCTGTCGTAATGTGCAAACAGCAAAGAGGCCTAAAAGTTGAGTTCCATCGCCCCTTCCGACCTCCGTTGTCACCCAGTTCTTGTTCACCCCCTCTGTAAATTTGCTTAAGTTTCAATTTTTTGGAAGTGGAACTAATCTTCAAACCCACTATTATTGTGATTCCACGATCTATTTCTCATCTCTTTAATAGAAAAAAGTAGCGGAATGGAGTTTTTCTGGAAGACGAAATCGGTCCGACTAAAGACCCTAAATTTTCAATTGCCACAAATCGCTCTTAAATCCCCTAACAAATTCTACTTTTCCCCACGCCATCGTTCCGGTTTCTCTTTCTTTTCTCTGTAAATTAATTTTTTGGTGATTATTTCTTGATTAACTCGAAAGAAACTTAAAGGATTAACAATAAAGATACCACAGCCATCACGAAGAATCACAAGATCACAAGGTATGGCTATGGCTTTCGAGAACAACAAAAGAAACAACAACAGTGTAACCATAATATTATGTGAGTTTTCTTTTGTAATTTAATCTTGTTTGTCAATAATTACTCAAATGGGTTTGGTGTTTTGATTTTTTCATCTATGATTTAGTAGATGAAAACGACGAATCTATGAAGGATATTGAAACAGTGGAAGCTAGACCAGAGAAATTATCTACGACCCACTTGTTGTGATGCACATCATGTGTTTGTGGAAATGCAGGGAGATGATCCACCGACTACAAATAAGGAAGGGAAGATGGTGTATTACATGGTTGTGGATGATGATGGATACGTTGATGATGGTTATGAAGAAACATCGTTTTTTTACTCTAGGGGCATGGATCGGAGGATATGACTATGAATTTGGAAGAACACACATGGATAAATGATATAATCGTGTGCTCTAGGAATCCATTGAATGACAAGCTTTTCCACTCTGATTGTAGCTTGGCCACAACAACAATGGCGGGTTCTGGCGGCACTTCAAGAAACACAACAACGACCACCGTCTATGGTGGAGATAGATGAAGACAAGGAAGAAGGTGGTGGGTACGATATTATTGCCAACAAGATATCTTCAGTGGCTACTGTCTTGAGAGAGAGAGAGAGAGAGAGAGAGAGAGAGAGAGAGAAAGAGAGAGAGAGAAAGAGCGAGAGAGAGAGAGAGAGAGAGATGAGGTGGATTAGTTACGTGGCATTTGCAAATTGATGATTAGGATAGGGTCACCGGGTAACCCCTTCAAAATTTCCAAAAGGACATTTTAAAACCTAAAAATACAAGTTCGTGCCCTTTAAATACAAAAAATAATCATGAGGGACTATTTAAACCAATATACTAAAGTTTATTGGGCCATAATGACAATAACCCTTTTGATTAATACTTTTGAATTATTCCTATTATTTTCTATTAAAAAAGATATTGTAATTAATACTTTTGAATTTTGATATGGGTTACCTATGTAAATGTTTGTAGTGGATTCGTTGGATTTAGAAAGTAATTCTTCTACCTTAAACAATTTTATATACAAAGTGAGAAACCCTTCTACCTTAAACTATTTATAAACAATTTTACACATATGCAACTTGTTTTAAATTGTTAAGTATTAATATTATGAATTGAAAACAATAATAACAAATGTGAAATGACCATATCCAAGTAAAAATATACAAACATGCATTCACGATTTCAATGCTAAAAGCATCACCATCTCCTCTACCTCCACCATTAAATAATATCTTTAATATTATTTTTTTCATTTAAATGCATTTATATGTATTACTAACAATATTAATAACAACAAGTTCAAAAAATAGAATTCTTATTTATATTTTTAATAATAATAATAATAATAATAATAATAATAATAATAATAATAATAATAATAAAGGTTTTGTTTGTAGAAAAATCCTAATATTTTTGTTTACAGAAAAATCCTAATATTTTTTGTTTATAGAAAAGTCCTAATATTTTGGGATAGTTTACGAAATACTCCCAAATTAATTTGGTACCGGTTTCAACCGATCAAAAAGGGTCAAACTGCAAATTTTTGCCGGTTTTCAGGACTTTTTCGTTAAAAAAAAAATCTTGGGACTAAAGTGTAACTTTTCCGAAAATATTGGGACTTTTCTGAAGATTTCCCTAGTAACTATTATATTACAATACCAACTATATTTAATATCAATACAAACCTCATTCAATATCAATATCAACTACATTACATCGGGTGAATAAAATACATTATCCGTAATGATTTAAATTGTTGGAAATAATGTCGACGTTCATAACAATTGATAATATTAATATTAATAGCAGAGTCTTTTGGGTTAACACGTAATAACAAATTTAAGCAATTATTGACATGGGAGTTTATTTAGGATCCAATTTGTTAATTTATTAGTGATTAATAAATTAATAGAAGTTCCTGACGCATCTCCTTAGTCCTCGCGACAAAACCTTAATCATTCTAGGGTTTTAGTGTTTTGTGATTTAAGGTGGTTGAGACAGAAAACCTCCTCTTTAACAGTCGCAAACTATTCTTTAAATTCTCGGTCAATTTGAAAAGAACAAAAAATTATTTATTGAAAAATTGTCAAAATCGACATACCAAGGGATTAAAAAAACGCAAAAAAAAAAATTTCAAGGTGTTATTTTGTCTTGGAAGTGCAAATTCGAGTTTGGAGAAAACAATCATAAAAAATCTCGTTGTCTGCTATAGAGATAGATGAAACTGAAGCCTAAGACATTTTCTTCTTGGAGAAAACTAAGGCACCAACATTATTTTACTGATATGTGAATTAGGTTACTAATATAAGTGAGGGACAAGCCACGTATCATGTATGAGAACGCCTTATTAATGAATGTCTCACGTAGGATGTCATATGAGCAAAACGTAAAGAAAACCAATCATAAAGACTGAATATGTGCAAAAACAACAATAACCTATTTTGCAACAAAAAAACATTAATGACCAAACGTAAACTAAGAACTTAACTTGAAATAGTCGATCATAAAATAGTCGATTATAAAAACTAAATGTGTACAAAACAATAAGTTAAATGACTTATTTTACAAGAAAAAGATAAGGACTAGATATGTACAAAACGAAAACTATGTTGCCCTATTACATCATTTTCCATAAATCAAAGTTAATAAAATAAAGAAACAAGAAATTATAAAAAATATATATATATATATATATATATATATATATATATATATATATATATATATATATATATATATATATATATATATATCATTTCACACACTTAATGGTTTGTTATTAACAATATTAATCAAAAAACTAAAGATGCAACAAAATAAAACAACAAGGACTATTGTCTTAGTTGTCTTCACCATTCAATAGTTCTGTCAAACAAGATGGACCTAATTTTGTCTGCAAATAACAACATATTTTAGGTCATTTCTCATTGTTGTCCCATACAGGCTTTACACATTGTGATATTGGCATCATTCATTTCAGATATACACATATATGATAACAATCTCGAATTGAAATCGTAGCCCTAACCCATTGAATTGAAAACAACTTCTTTGAAGATCTTCTCTTCTCTTCATCTCTTAAATTTCCTTGGCCCTTGTTTCTTGTCGCTGCAAGGATTTAGTGGTGTCAAAACTCAAAACTATCATCAGTTGGATAAATAAAGTAAAGAAGGTGCTACTGCTGTTTGACTTGAAGTCAAAATCGCTACTATAAACTTGAAAAGTTCAAATTTGATATGATTTCTGCACCTTAGTAAAACTAAAAGTTAACTACATTGAAGTTTTGTAAATTGTAGTCCGAACCCAAAACTTGTTTCCAATAAGATTTGTTGAAATAGTTAATCTGAGATTATCATGCTTGACAAAGAAGCTAAGTTGGTGATAAAAGCTACCTTGATTGAGTTTCTTCGGTGGCTGCGGAGGAGGAGGTGGTGGTGGTGGTGGCTGAAATTCTTGGGACACTCCCAAAGCCAGCAACTTCATCCATGCTCTGGCCTTGGCGGCGGTAGCGACCACCGGTGGCCACAAAATCAGGGCAAGGCCTGTAAGCCTTGATAGGCCACCAACCAAACCCTGGTACGGTTGCAATTCCACCTTGAATCCTACCTTCACCATTGCATCCCCACCCTATCTCTGCTTTCCCACATGCCTTGCAACCTCTACAACGCAACATTACTACGTAATTCAAAATTAAATTTCTCAGAGATCAAATTCTTATGAAATTATATGAGAAATACCCTGATTGGTTAGTAAGGGTGTCAGATGAGCTACTTTCTTCTTCATCTTCTTCTTGTTTATCGACAGTGGAACTGGAAGTTGAGGAGGAAACTCGGAGGAGGATAAATGGAGATTTCGTCGGAGATTGGGCGACAGAGGACGACGGCTGCCACGAACTTTTAGAGCCAAAAGAGGAAACAGAAATTGGGTATAGATGGGGGGATATCGGAGCGGAGAAGAGGGTTGTAGCAGCCATTTTCGCTCTCTCTCCGCCGTGAAAATTGCGAGTTGAAGCCAATTCGAAGAGAACCGTATCTTGAATCTTGACGTAAGGTTGAGAGTTGAGAAGAAGCGATTTAATTTTGAGAGTAAATTTCAGAATTGGTCCCTTTTCTTTTCAAAAAGTGACAAGTTAGATGACAACTTTCAAAAATGCTTCAAATCTGCTGTCATAATTTTAAAAAATGCATTGGCTGGTTCTTTTAGCCACCATTCATACAGGGAGAAAGAGGAGAGATATAGTGCGTTGACTTTTATAAAAAGGATAAGCTTGTTAGTTTACATATGCTCAACCCACTTTATTAACGACATGTTAAAAAATGATCAAAGTTGCAACTTTGTGAAACCAGAGGTCTACGTTTGAACTGTTTCTGAAAGTTGTCCTCAACCTGCCACTTTTTAAAAAGCACAGGGACCAATTCTGAAATTCACTCTAATTTTTTTTTTTTTTTCAAAAGCAGATATTATTTGGCCTAAGTTATTAAAATTAAAGGAATATTATTAACAAAGGATGTGTAAGATGATTAACCTAAATCATTAACGCATTTACCCATCCAAAAGAAAAGAAAGAAAAAAGATTGATATACGATCATCAGATCGAATCCAAAGTAAAACAAACATATATATATATATATATATATATATATATATATATATATATATATATATATATATATATATATATATATATATATCCTCGAATCCTAATTAAAACAACTCTGTACCATTTTTCCCTAAACTCATATAAAAAGAAACTCTTGCTGGGTTGATTTGATTCCTTGAAAGTAAGGTGTGTCGTCAGGGGGGCAGCATGAGCATAGGTTGTGGTTGATCCGCAGCAGCATTAGCAAGCATGAGAGAGGTATGATGATGAACCATGTACCACTGCCCATTATGAAGCTCAAACACATTCGTCACATTCAGAGGCCTCTGCTCCATTCCTACATAAGCTTTCATTGTCACCCAAGCCACGTCACTGAGCACCCTCGACCTCACATCCCTCACCTCAAAATCAACCCCTGCTTCCGCTTCCCAGTTAAACGCCAGCTGCCAGCTCCCTATCACCCCATTATACCTGTGCGTAATCATATTTTTTGTTAATGCTAATTATATATAATGAGAATAATAATAATAATCAAAAATCAAAAATTCATAGCTGAGCGGACCCACCCGGTAAAGAGCTCCCCTGAGGCATGAATGCATTTCACATAATCCGCATTAAGCCAAAGCCGACCCATGTCTGGAATAGATCTTTCTCGAATCATCTCAAAAAATTGTTGATTTATATTCACAATTGCTCTCGTAGCTGCGTAGTACGCCTTCCACCCGTTTGCAGGTGTTACACTATCTTGTTCCATTGTAAAATCCTGCCAACAATATTCACACCTCACTTTACAAAATACAAACTCATCTCATACCACTTTAATTAAATTCAAACCTACACAACTTCTCTACACTTCTAGGAACATATTATATGTCTCCCAAATTATATTTCAATCGACAGAACGCAAACGCATTTCCTATATGTATCACGAGTATCAGGAAATAACTTGATCACAAAAAGAACCAAGCAAATGCACAGGAAATCAGTAAGGAATTAAGGATCATCTTCTACAAACAGTGGATCCTCATAATTAATATATTAAAGTCATGTTCCTTTATCGAGTAGATATCCATATCAAAGTAAGCACCAACAAATTGAAATACTAATATGGGGGAACATGACTTCCATTTTCAGAAGATAAAATATCGGATCATGATATTAGACATACTTGTACAGTTTCAGTAAATACCTGTAACTTTGTTTCAGGTCAATATTTTAATGGATCCAAAAGACCAATTTGTCGGAGAGAAGTCTAAAAAAAACCCTAGATAGGAGGGACGTATGTGTAATTATGAATACAGGACACATAGCTACAAATACCATATGTGTAACTTAGAGAGTTAGGGCAACGGTTTCCACGTGTCAAATACACTCTATTTTCAAACATCTGTGCTATCATATGTTACGCTTTTTGTTGCATATTTATTGGTTCATCTTATACAGCTGCAAACTGTATGGAACTTCAATTATACATTCAAATTGAATGCCTTGTTCTTAATGGCTGCATACGTGGCAAACAAAGCCAGTATAAGAATTTCAAATTATTTTCAGTACCAAATAGCAAAACCCTATCTCAGTTTTGAGTGTGCATTATACCCTTTGATGATTCCAAAGCTTTAACTGTGGTACCATACCTGACAGTTGACACTCAATTGCATAATTAGATGCAGGACACCAACAAATTTTTAGTCAAAAAGCAGACCAGAAACCTAGCCGAAAGCATATATTATGGAAATTCAATTCGATAACGACAAATGATGACAACCAACAAAGTTTCTAATTATAAGAGGACAGGAATCCAAATCACAGAGTAGCATAAATGTCTGCCCTTTCCCCTAGAATTAGGCTGATATTTGAAATAGCATACAAATGGCAACCAATTGCACCAAAGATCCTCAGTTATACAAGGGTTTGGGATAGGCAGTCTTTTCCCTTGCCTTTTGAAAAGAGGCTGTTATTGTAACTCAAACCCAAGAATAAAGAAAGTTTCACATAACATGTAGCAAACTATTAAGCAGATTATACGAAATACAAAGTAATTTTGGGAAAAGATTGAAAGGATAATAACCTTATGATAAAGGGCCTTCCAAGCATTATCATCATTAGCAGCCCTCCGCATGGAAGAATTGGTCATTGACAGCCTACAGAGACTAGGATAATCCAAGTAACTCAAAGCATGTGTGGTGATTTCCGGAACTAACTGTTCCATCATTGACGCACCTATCATCTGTTGTCGCTCCCTCTCCACCATCACCACCTGTCCTCCACCGCCTCCACCATTCATCATCCTCGCCGTCGCCGTAACAGCCATAGAATCAGTAGCTCCAACAAACCCCTTAGAATTAGAACATGCACAATTACAAGCTTTCGTTTTATCCGATTGTGAGAATTTGAGCAATCGGAAGGGTAGGAGTGAGACGAAACAACAGACTAGAGTCACGATTAGGGCTAAGAAGAGAGAAACAAAGGGAAAATCGCCGTTACCGGAGAAAGGAAAGGACATCTCCATTGACGATATTCATAACACATGAAAACTTCAGCAAACATAAACCCTAGAGTGAGATAGAACTCCTTGTAAGGCGATGATATCACACTACCTCTTCTTCTTTTCTGAAAAACCCTAACGTTCCGGTGGCATGAGGTGCCAGCAAGCCGCCCTGAAGAAGAAAGGGAGATTTTAGAAAGGGAGAAGAGACGGAGGTTTAGAGAGAGAAAGGGCCGGTGAAGACGACCTGTAACTGACGACGAGAGTAGTAACGCTGGTTAGTCATGGTACTGTCTATGTTGGATGCCGTCAATGGTTCCGTTAAGAAATTAACACAACTTTGAAGGGTGATTTTGTCTTTGCAAAAATCAACATGTATTATAAGAAAGTCAAACACGCAATATTCTCCACGTATATTTGGTTTTAAATAGTTAAACAAGGAGATAATGATTTGAAAAGGTAATCAATTTTTGATTTTGCCCATGTTTAGTTTTTAATTTTTTTTTTATTATCTATTTATCATTTAGCTATTGAAACTGTTCACATTTTATCCTTACGATCGGTAACAATCGATCATAAGAGTAAAATGTAACAATTTAAATGGTTCAGTGACAAATATATGATACAAAAAAATTAGTAACTAAATATGAAAAAAAATCAAAAATTCATTTTTCTCTCAAAAAAACTCAATTACTAAAAGTGAACAAATTTTCATCTTCTATTATAGTTTAGCAAATTATGTATTTTTGTTAAATTTTAACAACAATTATTGATAAATAAATCTATTAAATAAAAAAACAAAACCTCAAAAAAAGTATAAAAAACAAAAAACAAAACCAATATTATATTTATAAGTTTTATGTTATAAAACTATATAATATTATATGTACAAAAATTATCTTAATATTATATGTATGAATTTTGTATTATAAAATTATGTTACGTATTACGTTATTTATAAAAGAATATATATATATATATATATATATATATATATATATATAATATATATGTATGTATGTATGTATGTATGTATGTATGTATGTATCAGTAATTATATATGTTGTTATACTCCATTTATTGACATACATCATATTAGTGTATTTACTATTAACAATGATATCGAAAATGAAAATCAAGTTATTTAGAATTTAGATATTTTTAATTTACTTGGACAATTGATTTATATTTGATATTGTATTTTCTTAAAAACTTTAAATAATTATTTAACATGTTTTATGAAGTGTTGCGTCCAACCCACCCTATCCATATTACATTTACAAGAATATTTTTTTAGAAAAAAAATAGCTATATATTCAACAATTAAAACAGTGCTATTTTTTTTTTCTTTCAAAAAAGTCACTCATAATTTTAAAAGGTTTTAGAAAAACAATTCATACTTAAATAACTATTTTAAAAAAATAATGTTTTTAATTTTTTTTTCTACAGAATACAACATAATCTCTGACCATGAAACACAATTTCTTAATAGTTATGGGTGAGAATTGTTTATTTTTTTGTTAAACCAAAATCATATTGGAAATTTTAATTTTTTGTTTTGGAAAATACCAAACCATTGGTTTTTTATTCCGGTTTCGATTTTTCATATTTTTTTAATATATTTTTTGGGATTTTGTTTTTTTATTTCATAGATTTCTTCATCAACAAATGTTGCTAAAATTTAACAATAATAAATAATTTGCTAAAACATAATACAAGAGGAAGTTTGTTCACATTTAGTTATTGAATTTTTTTAAAGGGAAACAAATTTTCAACTTCGTTCAAATTTAGTCACTAAACTTTTTTTCATTATTTATTTGTCACTGAAACCAGTCATAAGGATAAAATATGAACAGTTTCAATAGTTCAGTGGCAAATAGATAATGAAAAAAAGTGAAGTGACTAAATATGAACAAAGTCGAAAGCCTGTTACCCTTTCAACTCATTATCCCTTAAATAAGTAACTACAATAAAGGCATTTGGGATGCATAATTTTAGGCTTGAGGGGGATGTTTATGCCACAGAGGTTGCCACCTCGCGCCACCCTCGACAAACATCGCCTCACGGTTTGTGCTAAGGGGCTCATTGGGTGTATAACGAGAAGAGAGAAAAAGATTTGGTCGTTGGGAGGTGTCGGGTTTTGATTTTTTCATTTACCTCATTTTACCACAACTTTTTTATAAAAAGATCATCAATTTTTTTTAAATACTTCTGGTTTTTGTAAAAATTTAAAATTTCAAAATTCATTCCAACCACTATAAACTCTCAAAAACCATAGTAAAAATTTTTATTTTTTAAAATCATTTTGTAATTCATAAATCATACAAAACATTGTTTTCAAAAACGTAATTATCAATTTAGAGTATCTAAAAACATCTCTCAACATTAATCCCAGGTTAATGTGTACATCATGTATTCGTCTTGTCCCGATCATCTGATATACCAGAAACCATAAAATCAAATTGTAAGTCAAAGCTTAGTGAGTTCCCCTAAAATACCATACATAACCAAACAGATAACAACATGTAACATACACGTTAATAACTTTGTTCAGTTATCGTGTTTTGTATGTTTGTTAATTTAAAATCGAATATTATTAAATAATATATGGTTTTGAGAATTGAGTTCTAACAATATATTTTTATGAGATTTGAAGTAAAACTATGTTTAGAATCATTCGGAAAGTATTGTAAGTGATGGAGGTCATATGTGATTCCGATCAAAAAGGTTAACTATCAAAATTAAAGAAAATATAACATTTAAGTTGGAAATAAGTAAAAATGATATTATTGAAAGTTGTAAATTATCTCGTTAGAAACGTATATGTGAAAACCTCATCGAAAACGGAGTTCTGGGCGAAAAGTTATGACCTATCAAAGTTTCGCAACAGAACCGGCATGACACTATACGACGTAAAAAGTGAGTTTAAAATAAAATATTTTTTAGCCTAAGTGATCTAAATGAGAGTAATAGTATACGTTAAACTGAGAGTTTGCATAAAAAGAACGTCCAAATATGACTTCAATGACAAAGTTATGATTTTTCTAAATATTTGGCATAGCAGTATACAGCTTGAAATTCGATTATGGATCGAGTCATTATTAGCCGACACAACCTAAATGAGAATCGAATGTCTCATCAATAGTAATTCAACGGTAAAAAGACAGATAAAAACGGATGTCGGATGAAGAAGTTATGAATTTTTAATGGACTTTTCATGTCCCGACCTATTAAAAATATAATTTTAAAAATAAATTTGAAATTAGTCGATGGAGTCTGAATGAAAGTTGTAGAGCATGTCTCACCTATGCGTGGATATAAAGAACATCAAAAATGGAGCTCGTATGCAAAAGATATGAATTTTTGAAGTTCAGAGCACAAACCTTGAGATCTAACAAAGCTCACGATGAGAGCAAGTATAACTCACGACGTGAGGTAGTCCATCGACACCTCTCAAGCCTAGAACACACACGGAAAGCCTACGAGCTGATCGGGATCAACTCAGGACGTGAGCTTATATGGCTCACGACGTGAGAGTTGAATTTTCGACCTATAAATAGAGGATCAACCCTCTTGTTTCCGTTTACACAAAAACGCAACCCTCTCTCCCATATTGCTGATTTTGAGCCATTTTCCCGAGCCGACGATCGTTAACTGTTGACAGTGTCTAGTCATATTCTATTGGAAAAATGCTCTTAAGGGGTAAGTTCATCGCAACATTCAATTATTTCACGGTGAGTTCAATATAGGGATAATTGTATGTTATGTGTTATATGTGCAGTGTGTTTTCCTGTGTTATTGGTTTAAGTGGCTATTACTTGTTATTGGATTTTTTTTCCTTTGGCCATGTACATCATGACTCGTATCACTTTGGTATTGGCTTTGTGCCTGTGGCCATGTAGAAAACTCCTAATCTTCGTGGGTGACCTCGGCACCTCCCAACTCATCACTGCCTCAATTTTGGCCGCGTCGACCAAATATCCCTTTCTAGTTAACGAGATGTCCCAGGAACTGGACCTCTCGTAATCAGAAATCGCACTTGGAGAACTTGGCATAGAGCCTCTCCGATCTCAAGACCCCTAGGATCTCCCTTAGATGCTCCTCATGTTGCTCTCTAGATCTCGAATACACCAAAATGTCGTCGATGAATACGATCACCGAGCGATCCAACATCGGTCTACACACCCTGTTCATGAGATCCATGAACACCGCTGTTGCGTTGGTGAGCCCGAAAGGCATCACCACGAACTCGTAATGCCCGTAACGAGTCCTAAACGCAGTCTTCTGGATATCCTCATCTCGCACCCTCACCTGATGATATCCAGACCTCAAGTCGATCTTGGAAAACCAAGATGCTCCCCTGCAACTGATCGAACAAACCGTCAATCCTCGGTAACGGGTAACGATTCTTGACCGTCAATTTGTTCAACTCCCGGTAATCAATGCACATCCGGTGTGACCATCCCTTTTCTTGACAAAAAGGATAGGAGCTCCCACGGCGAACTACTCGGCCGAATAAACCCCTTTCCCAGCAGCTCCTGAAGCTGCGAGGATAAGTCCTGCATCTCTCGAGGCGCAAGGCGATAGGCGCGGCCCCCAGAACCAAATCGATACTGAACTCCACCTGCCTCACAGGAGTTACGCCCGGCAACTCCTCCAGAAATACATCTGGGAACTCACGCACTATTGGAACCTCTCCCACAGACCTCGATCTCTCCGTCTCAACCCTCGCATCCATCAGATACGCTATGAATCCCTTATATCCCTGCTGAAGACACTACCTCGCCCTGGCGGCTGAGCAAAACGCTGAACCGAAACGTGTACCCTCGCCGTACACAGTAAGAACTCCCGCACTAGGGTCTCGCATGGTCACCAACTGTCGCTCGCAGCCGATGATCGCTCCAAATGTGCTCAACCAGTCCATGCCCACGATGACACAGACATCCCCCATCGCAATAGGGACCAAATCTATCGGAAACTCAACCCTGAAAATCTCGAGTACACAACCACGAATCACCTCGGTGGCATACACCGCTCTCTCATCCGCTATGGGAACTCTTAGAGGTCGACTCAATGCCTCTTGACTAATACTGATGTGTCGGCTAAAGGCCAATGATACGAAAGATCGACTTGCACCCGAGTCAAATAACACTAGAGCCGGTACAAAATTCACAAGGAAAGTACCTACGCATAACATAACATAAGCACAATATCACAAAATACAAAAGAATACATGAAAGAGTACATACCGGCCACGACATCGGGTGCTGCGCGGACCTCCTCCGCAGTCAACTAGAAGGCTCTCCTGCGTGCCTTCGGTGCCTCAAGCTTCACAGGCTGAACATTCGTATCTCTCATCACAGCAGGGGCTGATCTCGAAAATGCTCCGTGCGCTGAACCCCGCAACTGTGGACACTCTGCCTTCCGGTGTCCGGTCTGGTTGCAATGAAAACAGACTGAAAAACCCTTGGGGCAATCCTTGGCCATGTGCCCCTCCTTGCCACACTTGTAGCAAGACCCTGCTCTGCATATCCCATTGTGGCTCTTCCCGCACTTGCCATAAGTGCGTTCCTTCTGGTTACCAGATCTCGAATCAACGGGTTTGGCCGGCTTGGCTGCCGACTGAGACTGAGCCGGCCGCCGATCCTTTTCCTGAGACTCAGCCTCCTCCCTGGCTTGGGTCTCCAACTCTATCTCCCTCTTCCGGGCATTTTCCTGAAGCTCGTAAAATGTACGGTATGTCAAGTTTTCCACGAACTCACGTATATCCCTCCTCAGAATGCTCAAATATCGGCTCATACATGCCTGCTCGGAGGACACGTGCTCTGGGTAGAACATCACCCGCTCATGAAACATCCTCGTGATCACCGTAACAGACTCAGTACCCTGCTTGAGGGTCAGAAACTCCTGGGCCAAATGCTCCCTCTCCACTTGGGGAACGTACTCATCTCGAAACATAGCGGTGAACCTCTCCCAGGTCACCGCAGCAAGCTCAGCAGACGTAAAGTGCGCAGTCACAAACTTCCACCAGTCCTTCGCTCCCAAGCGAAGCTGGTTCAGCGCGAACCGGACTCTCAAATGCTCTGTAGATGAGCAAGTAAAGAAACACCCCTCTATTTCTGAAATCCATTTCATCGCCATGATCGGGTCCAGGGTCCCATCAAACTCCAGTGGTTTTGTGTTGCTGAACTCTCGGAACAGCAACGCATCACCACCCTGCGGCCTAGTCGTAGCTATACCTATAGTGGCCGCAGCAACAACAGCCTCAGAAAGAGTAGCGTATCTCTCATCTAATGTCTCCATCAGAGTGGTCTTGATAGACCCGAACATCTCTGGTATCTCTTCCCTGATGGTCACAGCCACCTCCTCCTGGATGATCCTACGGATCTCCTCATCACTCGAACTGCTGGTCCCTAGTGTGTGGCGCGTCCCAACCATGGTCTCCTTTTGAAATACAACATAAGAATATTAGAGACCCCTTCGAGTATAATCACACTCGATAACTCCACCCTACTCGTTCCTTGGTGCCCTAAGGATTCTTACTTGGACTACGCACCAACCCGGTATCTTCAGTAGTACGGGCCCAATACTACCATCCATACCGCATCGGCATTCATCCCAAGTCCTACTCCTTGAGCCCCATTTCCCAAGTACTCTACTCTCTCTATCATGTGCTACTCACTAGCAAAACTCTCATAAGCACCTCGCTGCTATCTAAATCACTCTTAAGCATCTCTAGCAGCAAAACCCCTAGACTAAGGCATCATATATCAAGCCACTCTAGTCCTAATATGAATACCTACTCTACTCTAGCATGCATATCGTAACTCATCATATAGCATACATAACATATCTGTTAATCATTTATTATGAGGGTATTTTGGGAAATCACCGTTCAGGCGCTGGCTGATCGTACACACGTCTCTGCTCTGTTTGTCTCAAGACTCTTTTTACTCTTTTTTCAAAAATGTTATTTTTTATTATTAAAAATTTCCTCAAATCCCCAGTTTGAGTTCAGATACGCCCGAAGATGTATCCGAATCCCTCAAACCAAGGCTTTGATACCAACTTGTAACACCGTAAAAA